ATTAGGAACGGGATGTCACTTAAGCTCATATGTGAGTCAAGGCAGGTGAGCAAATACTTTTGGCAATATAGTGTATATCACATGAGAAGGTTCTCATGGTCAAATTACAGCATTATGTCCCTGTTTCACTGACCTTTGACCTCTTTGCCTCAGAGGCATATTTTAGAAGATGTTTCCTGGTCAACTTAACCCATAGAAACAGGGAATGTCAATGAAGCACATACACACACACATACACATATATAGATTTTGTATGATTTGTGAGGGAGCGTTCTGTTGTTTAGTGCTCTATGAGGACTTGCCCAATATTTAACATTGCTTTCTCAAGAATGCATCCAAATGTTCTCACAGACAGATGGGTATTTAGACTTACCACGCAGTGAGTACCTCTGCAAGTTGATTTCCACTCCATATTTAGAAATAAAAAAAGCACCTCCAATACAGCTTTTTATAGGATGTTGCTTTTACCTATACCTGAAATAATCACTTGCACCAATCTTTTAACAATTATTTTAAAAACTTGAACTACTAGAGGTTAAACCTGGACCCAAACCTGGCTTGTTTTAATCATAGAGGTTATCTGTTGAAAGTGTACCAATTGAAAATTGCAATTTAAGCTCCACAGTTCATGACGAGAATCTAGGTGTCCCAAAGTGACACATCAGCCTGGCTGAATTATTTAATGAGCCAGAAGAAGAGCTGAGCACAGATGGAAGAAGGATGAACATAAGGAGCTCTATGACATGTTGGAAGGTGGTAGCGATTTCATCAGACCAATTAAAAAAAATAAAAAACATTTCTTAGGAACAACATATTGTCACAAGTCATGTGTTCTTTTCTTTGTTAAAAAGAAAGGAACTCTGAATGCTTCAGCATACCAAGACATTTTGGACAATTCCATGCTCCCAACTTTGTGGGAACAGTTTGGAGCTGGCCCCTTCCTCTTCCAACATGACTGTGCACCAGTGCACAAAGCAAGGTCCATAAAGACATGGATGACAGAGTCTGGTGTGGATGAACTTGACTGGCCTGCACAGAGTCCTGACCTCAACCCGATAGAACACCTTTGGGATGAATTAGAGCGGAGACTGAGAGCCAGGCCTTCTCGTCCAACATCAGTGTGCGACCTCACAAATGCGCTTCTGGAAGAATGGTCAAAAATTCCCATAAACACACTCCTAAACCTTGTGGACAGCCTTCCCAGAAGAGTTGAAGCTGTTCTAGCTGCAAAGGGTGGACCGACGTCATATTGAACCCTATGGATTAGGAACGGGATGTCACTTAAGCTCATATGTGAGTCAAGGCAGGTGAGCAAATACTTTTGGCAATATAGTGTATATCACATGAGAAGGTTCTCATGGTCAAATTACAGCATTATGTCCCTGTTTCACTGACCTTTGACCTCTTTGCCTCAGAGGCATATTTTAGAAGATGTTTCCTGGTCAACTTAACCCATAGAAACAGGGAATGTCAATGAAGCACATACACACACACATACACATATATAGATTTTGTATGATTTGTGAGGGAGCGTTCTGTTGTTTAGTGCTCTATGAGGACTTGCCCAATATTTAACATTGCTTTCTCAAGAATGCATCCAAATGTTCTCACAGACAGATGGGTATTTAGACTTACCACGCAGTGAGTACCTCTGCAAGTTGATTTCCACTCCATATTTAGAAATAAAAAAAGCACCTCCAATACAGCTTTTTATAGGATGTTGCTTTTACCTATACCTGAAATAATCACTTGCACCAATCTTTTAACAATTATTTTAAAAACTTGAACTACTAGAGGTTAAACCTGGACCCAAACCTGGCTTGTTTTAATCATAGAGGTTATCTGTTGAAAGTGTACCAATTGAAAATTGCAATTTAAGCTCCACAGTTCATGACGAGAATCTAGGTGTCCCAAAGTGACACATCAGCCTGGCTGAATTATTTAATGAGCCAGAAGAAGAGCTGAGCACAGATGGAAGAAGGATGAACATAAGGAGCTCTATGACATGTTGGAAGGTGGTAGCGATTTCATCAGACCAATTAAAAAAAATAAAAAACATTTCTTAGGAACAACATATTGTCACAAGTCATGTGTTCTTTTCTTTGTTAAAAAGAAAGGAACTCTGAATGCTTCAGCATACCAAGACATTTTGGACAATTCCATGCTCCCAACTTTGTGGGAACAGTTTGGAGCTGGCCCCTTCCTCTTCCAACATGACTGTGCACCAGTGCACAAAGCAAGGTCCATAAAGACATGGATGACAGAGTCTGGTGTGGATGAACTTGACTGGCCTGCACAGAGTCCTGACCTCAACCCGATAGAACACCTTTGGGATGAATTAGAGCGGAGACTGAGAGCCAGGCCTTCTCGTCCAACATCAGTGTGCGACCTCACAAATGCGCTTCTGGAAGAATGGTCAAAAATTCCCATAAACACACTCCTAAACCTTGTGGACAGCCTTCCCAGAAGAGTTGAAGCTGTTCTAGCTGCAAAGGGTGGACCGACGTCATATTGAACCCTATGGATTAGGAACGGGATGTCACTTAAGCTCATATGTGAGTCAAGGCAGGTGAGCAAATACTTTTGGCAATATAGTGTATATCACATGAGAAGGTTCTCATGGTCAAATTACAGCATTATGTCCCTGTTTCACTGACCTTTGACCTCTTTGCCTCAGAGGCATATTTTAGAAGATGTTTCCTGGTCAACTTAACCCATAGAAACAGGGAATGTCAATGAAGCACATACACACACACATACACATATATAGATTTTGTATGATTTGTGAGGGAGCGTTCTGTTGTTTAGTGCTCTATGAGGACTTGCCCAATATTTAACATTGCTTTCTCAAGAATGCATCCAAATGTTCTCACAGACAGATGGGTATTTAGACTTACCACGCAGTGAGTACCTCTGCAAGTTGATTTCCACTCCATATTTAGAAATAAAAAAAGCACCTCCAATACAGCTTTTTATAGGATGTTGCTTTTACCTATACCTGAAATAATCACTTGCACCAATCTTTTAACAATTATTTTAAAAACTTGAACTACTAGAGGTTAAACCTGGACCCAAACCTGGCTTGTTTTAATCATAGAGGTTATCTGTTGAAAGTGTACCAATTGAAAATTGCAATTTAAGCTCCACAGTTCATGACGAGAATCTAGGTGTCCCAAAGTGACACATCAGCCTGGCTGAATTATTTAATGAGCCAGAAGAAGAGCTGAGCACAGATGGAAGAAGGATGAACATAAGGAGCTCTATGACATGTTGGAAGGTGGTAGCGATTTCATCAGACCAATTAAAAAAAATAAAAAACATTTCTTAGGAACAACATATTGTCACAAGTCATGTGTTCTTTTCTTTGTTAAAAAGAAAGGAACTCTGAATGCTTCAGCATACCAAGACATTTTGGACAATTCCATGCTCCCAACTTTGTGGGAACAGTTTGGAGCTGGCCCCTTCCTCTTCCAACATGACTGTGCACCAGTGCACAAAGCAAGGTCCATAAAGACATGGATGACAGAGTCTGGTGTGGATGAACTTGACTGGCCTGCACAGAGTCCTGACCTCAACCCGATAGAACACCTTTGGGATGAATTAGAGCGGAGACTGAGAGCCAGGCCTTCTCGTCCAACATCAGTGTGCGACCTCACAAATGCGCTTCTGGAAGAATGGTCAAAAATTCCCATAAACACACTCCTAAACCTTGTGGACAGCCTTCCCAGAAGAGTTGAAGCTGTTCTAGCTGCAAAGGGTGGACCGACGTCATATTGAACCCTATGGATTAGGAACGGGATGTCACTTAAGCTCATATGTGAGTCAAGGCAGGTGAGCAAATACTTTTGGCAATATAGTGTATTTATATATACATATATGCATTTAATGATAGAAATGAAAGCTATATTTACTTTATAAAGGTTTTACCAAACAAGCAGCTCATATAAAAAAATCAAAGTATATATTAAAAAGCTTCCTCCTAAAATAAAAACCTAGACCTGAAATGTATCATTCTAAGTCTGTTTGTAGATGTTAAAAAGTTAAGGTTTTGACAACAATCCCTGGATCTCATGAAATTGATGAAATTCTGGCAGTAGTACCTGTCACCAGACCTTCTGCCAGCCCAGCCCTGAACACTACATCTCAACTTTTTTTTTTTTTTTCAACTACCCTGCTTCTTCTCTTCCGTCTTTTCAATCCCCTTCATTCTCTGTGGAATGCAGTCTGTTTTGCAGTTTGTAAAAAAAAAGGGGCCCCTTTCAGCTCAATGCATTCAATAATTGTTCTGGTGCAATTAGTCTAGTTAGGACATATTTTAATGTTTATAAGGAATTTGGAATCGCAGAAACACAGAGTGGTAGTAACAGGTGTTAAGCATCTGCTAGGCTATACAATGATTTACAGGAACCTGGTTGCTCATTTAGATCAGTAACCACAACACTGCAAAGGTTTGATGAGACGAGGTAGCAAAGGAAAAAGATGCAATCTTTAACTTTTACTTGAAAGACCACAACTGCATAAACCTAAATTGCCATGTTACAAACACAAATACACATGTAAATATATTCATGCAATAGTTTTATGTAGGTTGTATTCCCCTTGTAAATTAAGGAGGTTTCCCTTCTAAGTATTTTTCTGTTAAAGCTGATTTTGCCTGTTTAAGTCTGTATTAAGTTACAATAATTATAGATTAAGATGTTTAAAGCTAGATAAAGTGTTGCAAAGCAGCAGTTGCTGTCAAAAGGAGCTATAAAGTGGGACATGAAGGACCTTTTGGTTAAAGTGGGTTCAAACACATTGTACATTTGTTCTCTCTATTCTCATAAGGTCCTTGCTCAGGAAATGTCAGCTTCAACAGGAAGTACTCACAGTTATTGTCAATTGTGGTCCTATTTGTGCTACCTGCTCTGTTTAAAATTTAAACTGTAAATATCTAAAATCTGACGTGATCACAATTAAGTTTAAAAATGTTAAAGTTCAAAGATTGAGTGGGCATTTGTACAAAGTGAAACCATATTGAAATGTTTAAGCAGCTATGTATGACACGAGCTGCAGTGGTCTTGTGGTTTTGTCCCATGATGCTCAGAGAAGTTAAAAAAGCCTCAGCTTGCTGCTGTTTTAACACGGGGCGAAATGCTGACGATGAAAGCTTACAAGTGGATTCTCCTGTTTGCCCTGTGGCTTCTAAGTGTCTCTTCAAATGGTAAGTCATCTTAAAACAGGGTTTATTGTGGGATAAGTTGTAAAATATCTATTTACAGAACTGATAATTTCATTTACTTTTTAGTTCTCCCTCAAATACTGAAATATCAGCAGTGTGTGTATTTTATTTGAAGAGTAAACCTCAGTTTTTCTGTCAAAAAACGTAAATAAAAACAACACTTAAATCTGACAGATTAATGTTTGGCGATTTATATGAAAGAACATAATAATTCTTTTGTTTCTTACTGCTAAAATAAGTGTCGTACTCTTTATAGAAGCCATATGCCATCAACAACAAAAAACTTCCGTTTGGGGAAGAAGACTTTCAAAACTACAATAACCTGATTTAAAATTGCCTTGAAAACCTAGAAGGACAGAGAGGCACTATCTTAAAAAATACACTTTGATTAAACAATTTTCACACGGTAATGTTTTCCAACCAGTTTAATACATGTATAATCAATGTAAAGGAAATAAGAACAGTTATATGTGAGGCTTAGAATGATGAAAACATAGATATAGGGAAAAAAAAAGATCTTCGACAATACCGCTCAACATAAGAACACAGTGAATTAACATTGTTTTATACCTTCATTCCATACCAATGAAAAAAAAAATTGTAAATGCGTAAAACTATAGAGCAATGAAGTGTTTTCCTGAATTTGGTATTTATATAATCTAAAAACTCTGTATCAACTTTCTGTGTCAATCTAGTTTAGATTTTAATCCAAATATGAGTCATGATCAAACCAAAAAAAGTGAACGCCTGTGGATATTATTGTCTTTCTGTAGAAGATGAGTTGAATATATATTTCTAAAAAAAGAAAGGTTCCTATGATGGGGGAAACAGCCCACAGTACAGGGCCATTTTTACATCCTGGACACGTTGGAAACAAAAAACAAGAGAAACTGTGAAGGTAAGAAGTGACAAAAGGAAAAAATGATCACCAACGTTTCTGATTCACTTTGTTACAGAGTGATGAAGCAGATAACGTGCTGCTGAGATTAAAGGCTGTGGGTCAAAGGTGTCCTCTGGGGTTGAAGAAGTGGGTAAAAGTCTCAATCAACTACAGTCACATTTTCTACATAAGATTAAATTTATAAAGTGGATTTATTTAACCTAACTCATCAAAATAATATTCACATTTTTTTAAATATGAGGGTAGTATCTCCAAAAGTGAGGTTAATTCACTTACAATTCAACTACAACAAAAACATATTTTGTTTTATTTATGTTTATTGCTTTTTTTTATTAAAGGCACGTTTAATAAATCCCATTATCATTGTTATTATCACACATCTGGGGCTCCAACTGCCACTCTGGGTCTCTGAGCAAGACCCTTAACCCCACACTGCTTCCCGGGCACCGCACAATGGCAGCCCACTGCTCCCCAAGGCGATGGGTTAAATGGAGAGAGGGAATTTCATTGCGCTGTACTTGTGACAGTTTAATGACAATAAAAACGGTGGAAACTGAAAAAACAATGACCCTCCAAAAATCTCCCTCTAACAGCTGTGGGAGGGACATCAGAAGGAAGGAAGGAAGGAAGGAAGGAAGGAAGGAAGGAAGGAAGGAAGGAAGGAAGGAAGGAAGGAAGGAAGGAAGGAAGGAAGGAAGGAAGGAAGGAAGGAAGGAAGGAAGGAAGGAAGGAAGGAAGGAAGGAAGGAAGGTGTTTAGAGAAGGACATTTGTTTTCCTTTTTCTCAAAAGGAACTATTATTTAGCCGTACATACAGCTGCGTTTTGGGGTTTTCTACTTTTCATAAATTCTTTTCTTTACATATTTGCATATTGCTTATTGTAATTGTTTTGGTTTCTTCAGGGAGAGAGCTGTGTAATAGAACTGAGGTCAAAGCTCCACTTGGCTCTTCTGTGTCCCTGCCATGCACTATTTCATCAAATGGCTCCAAGTGGGTCAAATGGAGTCACAAGTATGAGAAAGATGAAGCAGGTGTGGAGCTGGTTGACCTCTCATCTAATGGGCGCATCAATTTCCTGGACCCCAGATCCGGCAGAGTGAAAATCTTTCCCAACCAGTTTTCAGAGATGAACTATGGCATCATCATTGATGAGCTCAAAGACTCTGACATGGGATCTTACTACTGCAAGCAGAGCAATGAATGTTTTGAGGTGAAGCTGTTCGAAGATGAAGGTATGCTGTACTTCTCAGGGCCTCTATTCTACATTTTCTGCTTTTAGTTTTATCAGGCTGTTTTTTTTTTAATTCTAAATATTTTTACATTCTATGCTTTATACATTTCTTTATTTGATCAGTGGAAAGTGGCCCTATGATTGTGTTTATTATTGGTTTGTTTCTACTTAGGTGAGCAGTTTTCTGAAGAAACTTGTGGTAAAGATTTTTGTGAAACATACGAAGTCCCAGCAACACTCGGTTCTTCGGTGCTCCTGCCATGCAACTTTGACACCGGTGCCTTTAAATGGGTCACCTGGGTTCACTTAGAGAAGGGGGACGTGGTTCGTCTTTCTTCTGAAGGACATGTTGATTTTCAAAACCCAAGATCTGGTCGAATTAAAGCATTTCCAAACCAAGCCTTAGATGGGAACTACTCTACTGTCATCGATGAGCTTAAAAGCTCTGATCTGGGGTCTTACTGCTGCAAGCAGAGGAGTAACTGTTTGCGAGTGGAGTTGCTTGGAGGCAAAAGTATGTAACCTTCCTGTTTCTTGGTTTTGTCAATAAAGCCTGTGCAGATGCATACATTATTTCCCTCTCTATTTGCGGCAGACCTCAAGGGACAAATAAAAAACAACGGTCAAATAAATAAGCTAGCATTTCCTGTAGGACCAAACTTTATGAAACTACATCTTGTTTTGCAGGTAAATTGAGCTCAGAGATGAAGCTACTGATCTACAGCAGTGGTGGTGTTGCTGCCCTCATTATCATCAGCCTTTTAATAATTTGCTACTGGTTGAAATGTATGTGTGAGTAGTTGCCTCTGCCTGTCAGTCTGCTCACTAAAATTATTGTTGTTTTGAAATTTAAAACTTTGCTTTATGTTTTTTTCTTAGGCGTTTCAAACAAAGGTAGTGCAATGCCCACTGTTAGCGAAACAACTCAAGGTTTGTATTGTTTTAACAAAGTAAAAATCCAGAAGTAATAAACAATGTTTAATAGTCCTGCTGACTGTTTTTTACAGCTATTGAAAGTTTGAACTTTACATTTAAAAGCAAAAAAGGCCCGTAAATAAGGTAGAAGGATATTAAAAGGCACTTTAAGTCTGAGACAATATACATACCTTCAAATTGACAGTTTTGTGCTCGTAGCTTCAATCTCTAGTTTGTCAAGCAGGCTAAACCTCTTCTACAGCCCCAGCAGGTAACTGGTAACTAGTTACCTAAAAGAAACCACAATACTAATAAGATAAAATATACTAAACCACATTAAACAAGGAAAATTAATATTTCTTCAAGAATAAGAATTAAAAAAGAAATTAATCAAGATAATATTTAGGTGATCAGACAGAATGTAACACCCACTAAACCCAAGTATGATATCCCATTCAATTTATCAACCATTTAAAAAAAAAAAAAAAGGGGTAAAATACTGGTGTGCTCATAGCTTGATAACAAATTACATTTAAAGAAAACTCAGAATAAATTTAACAATGCATTATCTTTATACTTATACTAGAACAAATTATTAGTTCAAGTCATTGTGAAGGATTTTCGCTGATTTTTTTTTTTAAGACCCACCCTCTCCACTTTAAAAAAAATGCACATGCTCAACCCTGTAACCTCTCCCGAGAGGGAACAGTTATCAAATGCCTGTGAGAGCATGCACGCTCTGTTTAAAAGTTACTGTTTTCATCACTCATACAAGCTAACTGTGTCCAAACGTCCGCTCTAACCCCTAAATCCCTCAATCACTATATAGAGCGTGGACTTTATTGCAAACTCAGTTAACTGACTGTTCGGACAGAGGATCAGCACTTTTTGCTCCCCGTTGGTCACGTAACTCCTCCTTCACGCGTGGAAGCCTGCGCCATCTTTGTTATTAGTCACCACTGTCGGGTAGCAACAGATTATGGCGACAGCAGTCCGCTGTGACAGCGAATCCCAATATGCTTTGTGAGGAGAGCTCTCCGTGCAAAGCATTCCGGGATATATCTGCCTCTTCTGAGGCCTTTCGTTTCCTCTCATACACTTCGTAGACACTTTTTTCTTCTAACGCCCTCAGCCATTTTCAAAGAGCCGCTGTGATAAAGGCGAGCTTGTATGACTGCCTGAAACCATAGCTCACCACAGATATACACATCTGTGGTGCATGTGCAGAAAAATATAGCTAACTGGGGACAAGCACGTAGGACGACCCTACGTAAACATAGCACCAGAATGATTGACAATTAGGAGGACAACTTATTTTGATGATCCACCTGGAAAAAGAAAATCCCCCACTATACTTTAAAGTCCAGGTGAACCTTTTTATCACATCAAATACTTCCTCTTTATCTTAGATTATGCTTTGCAGCATGTTAGTTCCCTCACCATACTGGAGGACAAAGTAACTTGAACTCAAATCGAAAAAGACACAATATATGCCTTTCAAAATATTATCATTTAAAAAAGTTAAATTCACTCATTTAAAAGATAAAATGGTAAACATTGGCTTACCCTGTTTATTTCGCAAAGCTTAGTTTTGATACATTAAAGTAGCCGAAAAATGTTGATACAGGGCACACTACATTTGGGGTCGGATTTCTATTAATAAAAACATGCCTAAGTGTCTGAAGTTTGATACGTAGGTCAAAAAACATGAATAAATTCAGGATATGTATTTTGTTCCTTGTCCATTCATACATACATGTGACATGTTTTTGCTGCTTTCTGTATCAATACAATTTAGAAGTTTATAATAAAAGTTATTTTACAACAACATCAATACAAATACAAATCACAAATTTACAAGTATGAATTGCAAATTAAGGAGTGCAAAATAATATGAGTCAAAATCCAAATTTATGGTTATGAATTAAACATTTCAGGTAAAAATAAAAAATGCATGATTGTGAATTATAAATTAACAAATAAGAAATTAGTCATTTAAAGCTTGAAATTTCCTACTGAAGATTTTTTTTTATGAAAATAGATTACGCTAATTGACCTAAAATATTTAATCTACATTTAGTGTCTTTTAAAAAGATTTTTTGTATTTTTGTTTCCATTTAAACCCAAGATTTTTCAGAATGTAAATAAAATGGGTGATTTGTAACTTTGCGATTATAAAAGGAAGAAAAATGACAGAATGTTTCCGCTTGATTTCACTAATCCTGTCATTAATCTTCCAGTAATTATGTTAAAATATGATGTGTACTCATAATATAATCCTGTGGGCTCTAAAAGGTGCTACTACAACTCCCAGTGCTCCACCACAGGAAGCAGGCGGAGTAAATGGGCAACAAATAGGTAACCTACACTTTAACACATCATGACATCACACACCAGCTCTTTTTAAAATATGATGCAAATAGAAAAACATTCTATTGATTTATTGTGAAAAATGTTGATAAAGCAAAAGCCTCACTGCTTCTGTCTGCTTCCTTTATCAGCGGGTGATGACAACGGTCTTGTTTATGGTGAGTTCACATGTCTCTCCTTTTTTTCTTTGATTAGGGTTTATGTTTGATGTGAATTTATTAACTTTGCAGAAAAAGACTTTGAAAAACTTGAATCTGAACATAACATAAAAGCAGAGTGATATTTTATTTATTAATCTATTTATTTATTGTTTTCCTGCAAACAATAGAAAATGATGACCAGTACATAGCCTCCATCAGAAACTCAAGTGTCGAGCCAGCTGTTATGCAGCATCCGAATGGGAGTCAGCCCAATCAAAGTGACATCGGAATTTATCCAAACCTGGATGAGTTCAAGTTTGAAAGGGTGGAGAGTGAGAGGACAAGACAGCGATTTCACATTGGTGATTTATTATTGACACTTTTCTTTGCACTGGTGAATCATGAACTGCAGCTGATGGATAATTTGTCTCCTCTCTGTCTTTAGAGCTCTTTAGCAGGATACGGCAAGCTAGTGTCAATCGTCATTTCTATGGTAACATTAAATATTTGATCTTATTTCTTCCTTTTTACATCCGTTAAGATGTGTTACTCATCCACTTTCCCATGCAGTGAACCAGGGGGAGATCCGTAAGCAGCAAGCCAGGGCAGCGCAGGCAGAAAACAAAAAAGGTAACTTGGGTTTCTAATGATTTCATAATTGATAAGTGACATTATCAAAACTCCTTATTAGTGTGAGGGAAAATTGTTCTTCATGTATTGCCTGTTTTTCTCTAATTTCTCAGCAGGGAAAGGCAGGAGGAAGGCCAAAGACTGTGAGTCCTGAGTTCATCTGTGGATCAGATTAGCGATGAAATAATTGCGTCAACTGAACTGCTTTCCTACTTTTTTCCGCTGTCTCCCTCTCAGCGTGTGAATACAAAAACCCCATTTACAACAGTAGCAACGACTATCTCAACCACCTCTAGAGGATCAAGGAGACTAGACGCCATTTTACACTGATACACATTGACTGATTTTTTTTGTTTTTAAGCCTAACTGCACTGCATATTTCTCTATATTTTACATTCTTGAAAGCTTTTCAATAAAGAATAAACTTATAGAATAAACTGATTCTTGACCAATTCCTTCTAGTTATATAGAGTGGGGGGAATTTTTCAGAGGCTTCAGATTAATAAAAGATTGTTTTAGGACTGAAGTAGTTTGAATACAGAGCGAGTAGCAGATTACTTGATTTATTTCTGAATTTAACCTTTTTGATACCTCCTGTTGGTCAGAAGATGAAAAGATGCTATTTTTCTTTGGAATTCAACAGGGACGCATCATAGCTGTTTGTGAGGCCTTTCCTCATCTAGCTTTATTCGGCAGGAATGTAAATTAGTCCTCAGAGTTAATGACACCTTTCCCTAATATAATTATTTTATATTAGCATGATATTAGTGTTTTATTTTATGCCGCTGCTTGTAGTAAAAATGTGATTAAGGAAGCAAATTGTCCAGGTAAAACTTAAAATCCTTCATTAGTAATACACAGTGTGTGATTTGCTGTATATAAAGTAATATAGCAGACAATGAATAAATTATAATTAAATGCCCAATGTAGACAAAATATTGTGTCAGGTTGTGTGGAGGTTTGAAGAGGATCCAAATGCAGAAACAGAAGCTGAAGTGGTTTCTTGCAGATTTAATGCAGATCCAGAGGCAGCAGAAGAAAAGTCCAAAAACCAGGAGACTAATGTAAAACACATATAAGGAGCATAGAATCAACAAGAAACCAGTAAACAGTAACTGAAGAAGAGTATATAGTATATATAAGAGTATATATGCCAAACAGAACAAAGACTGCAGTGATCAACTGAGTGGGAGCAGGTGTGGACAGAAGACTGACACAAGGGGGCAACAGAAGGTAAACCAGATATACATAAGAACTCAAATACAACCAGTAAACAACCCGAACTACACAAAATGGAAATAAAACCATTAAACCAAAAGGTGCAAAACCTTGATATATTGCACAGTTAAATACTTCGTGAACTATTTCTACTGAATAAGCTGAAGAGGTTGTGGTCGGAACATTTAGATTTCTCTTGTCTTATCCAGTGAAAAATGTTTTTGCTCAGTTTGTTTCAACTTCAAGGCTGAGAACATGTCTAAATGAGGGGTGGTTTGAGAAAAAACATTGTTATTCCCACGACAAGCCAAATTGTTCCTCAATGTTTGTTAAAGTATGTGTAATTTGTTTTGACTCTGACACAACCTTCACAGTTTTTTTCATCAACATAAGTAGGGGAGACAAACTCTGTCTAGTCTGAACAGGGCTGATTACTGGGCCACAAGGGCTGTATGATGAACTGTTCTCTCTTTGCAAAGGTGAGAAAATAAAGTGCCAATTGAGTGACATCCATCGATATCCGTTTATTTAACTAGCGTGAATAGTTGAAAACTTTTTTCCCACTACAAGGTTCGGCTTAGAACCCACCGGGGCAATTTAGTAAAGTTTTGTAGTTCTTCTGTTTTATTTTGTTGGTCTTTGTCAGGTTTAATTTTGATGTGTGTTTTAAAGATGTGTGCATCAGAAATTTTTGGAAATAACAGACAAATTGCATCCCATATTAGTTCAATATGGAAGCTACATTAAACTGCCAAAAAAGGTAAATTCCATATCGCAGTGATTTGCAGTGGATCTGTCACATTCTTTATCTAAGCTTAAAAAAACAATGTTCATGCTAATGAACACAACATCAAACCATCTGATTGCTTGTTTAGAAATATATGAATGGCAAAGGTCTATTTGCTGACTGAATATTGTCATCATGTGAGCATTATAAACAAGATGCTGTGTATATAATGCTTTTTTCCACTGTGACCCCAAGTGGAAAAAAGAGAGGAGGGGGGCTACTAGCGGTGAGCAAGAGATTGTCCTTTCTTCCACGAGAGTTTGAGAGCGTTATTGCACTCCGTGTTTAGGGTCCCCCCCTGCGGACATCACAGCTGCATGCGAGCAGATCCACAGCGTAGTGACCAAGCTGCAGACACAGCACCGCCAATCTTTCCTGCTCATAAGTTGTGATTTCAATCGAGCCTCCCTCCGTTCCACCCTCCCCACGCTCCCCTTGTATGTCACATGTAAAACAAGAGAGAACAAAACCCTGGACCTTTTTTTTATGCAAACATTAAAGATGCCTACACCTACGCCCCCCACTAGGATGCTTGGATCACAACCTTATCTACCTGCTCCCCCACTACATACTAGGGGTGAGACGGCCAATAGTGCAGAAGAAGTCTGTGTAAGTTTAGTCAGATGAGGCCACTGAGATACTGAGGGATTGTTTCAGAACTAGAGAATGGAGCATGTTCCAAAGCTTTCATGGTGATAACATCAACAGTCTGATTGAATGTATCCCTGACTACATGACCTTCTATGTGGAGAGCACAGTGCCATCACAACGGCTACGGAGCTTCCTAAACAACCACCCCTGGGTGACTTCTGAGCTGAAAGTCCCCCTGAACAAGAAAAAAAGGGCTTTCAACTCAGGAGACAGAGAAGAGCAGCATAGACTCCAGCTGGAGCTCAAATGGAGGATCAGGGCTGCAAAGAAGGACTATGGGAGAAAAACAGAGGAACAGCTGGCACAGAACAGCGTCAGAGATATGTAGAGGGGACTGAAGAACATCTCTGGCTTTGGGCAGGGGAACATCACCAGCAGGCTGCTGACAGAGATACCAAGTTTGCAGACGAGTTACACAGGTATTTTACACGTTTTAACCCCCCCCCCCCCCCCCCCCCCCCCCACACACACACACACACACACACACACACACACACCGGCCCCCTCACTGTCCTCAACTATCAACAAGTCTCCAACCCCCAGGCCACCAGAGACCTACCCTCCCGCTCACCGCCACTCTCACAAGCACCCAGACTCACTCACACCCTCTGCGACAGTCACTTTGATGTAGATGAGAGGCAAGCAGAAGAGACTGAAACAGATGAAAGCCTCTAGACCGGATGATATTCTTCCAAGGCTACTGAGGAGCTGTGCTGATTAGCCCTGCAAGGTCTTCAGCTACATATACAACCTGCTTGAAGGTGGTCCACACTCTATGGTAGACTTCCTGTGTGATACCGGTTCCTAAAATGCAGCACGCCAAGGAACCGGCCCACTTTAAAACAGTCACCCTGACCTCCTCAGGTGGGTGGTCCACCATGTAGTGCCTCATCCTAGCTCACCTGCACACCGCGGTGAGCCCCACCCTGGAACCACTGCAGTTTGCTTACCGACTTGACATCGGAGTGGACACTACCATAATCCACCTGCTGCAGTGGGCGCCCACCGGGAGCCCAGTGAGAGTCATGTTCTTTGACTTTTCCAGTGGTTTCAGCTACTGAAGAAAGGAAGGTTTAGGTTTTCCATCACTTCCGTTTATTAGATATTAATCTTACACGAACCTGATCATCACTTCTTCACAATCCTCTGTCCTATTTAATCCAGTCAATGTTTTTTTTTCCCCTTTATTAAATAATCCTAAAGCTTATTACTACTTAGAAGAAAATAATTACATGTTTTATGTGTCTGATCACATGGCCTTCTCGCCTTTTAAAATTAATTTGCTTAATAATATATATTTAATAGAAAAAATAACGCATTGGCTGCTGTTATATTAGTAGCATGGCTGCTATCCCTAAATTGATTGCAAAAAAAAATTTCTTTTAAACAAATTTACCCTGAACATCTTTACCAAAAATTGTATCTGTTTAATAATAACGGCATTTTAATTTGTTTTAGGTTAAAAGGTTGTGTTTGACAAAAAAAAGTCTGGTACAGATCTTAATTGTCTAAAAAATATGTCTAACCGACAAATCTTAGAGCCTAGATTTAGATTTAGACAAATTTATTGTCCTCTTGTATACACTCTGTGTATACAAAATGAAATTTAGATGTCTACAGCTTTTCAACAGTGAATGAACAGCTTAGCAGTGAAGCAGTAAAGTTGGTAGTGCAAATCTGATGTTTTCAAGTGTGATTCAAGAGTCATGATTAGTTTCAACAGTTCAAAAGTCTGATGGCAGCAGGGAAAAAGTTGTTGCAGAACCTGCTGAGGTAAATTGTGTGAGTTGTTTTTCTTATGAATTTTGTACTTTTTCTTTTATATTTGTATGTTTTCTTAAATTTGTGTGTTTTTACTCCTAAATTTGCATGTTTATTCTCGTAAAAGTTACACCTTAAACTTTTAATTCCACTTTTTAATTTTTTTGAATGGTCCAAATCTGTCGTCATATTCCTGCGTCCAGAACTGAAAAGAAGTACTGAAAGCAACTTTTTTTTTTTTGAGTGGGCTGCCACTATGTGGGACCCAGTGGGTTAAGGGTCTTGCTCAAGGACCCTGAGTGGCATTCTGTGGGAATCGAATGCAGGATGTCCAGGACCCAAGTGCAATGCTTTAACCACTAGACCACCACCTCCCCAAAGCAACTTTATTTGCACAACACCCCCTGGAACAGCACTGATGATTTACTACTTATAACAGTCGTCTGTTACAAAGTGAGGTTGATTGACAGGTTTATATAATTATTTAGCAACAAAGCTTGGCTAACTGCATGCAGGATCAGACCCAGCATGAAGCAGTCAGAAGTCTGCAGCAGTTTCATGAAATATGCAAAGTAGCTGTGTCCTCTGATATATGTACTTACATCTAAATATGAAATTCTCCTTCTTATCAATTTATTGATCTATGGAAGTATTCTGAAATGTTGACCAAAAGCAGCTCATTCTGGGCTCCAGTCTGCTTGAGGGACTATTATTGAGGGGCAATTTCATTACCACATTTTCTTACCAACTTCTCACTTACATGAGCATTTTTTTTTTTGTTTAAGTGACAAATAGCTGCAGATGTACCTTTGTGTTTCTTGGTCTCTCACAATGACCCTTGTTCCGGAAGAGTCACCAAGCTTCAACAGGAAGTGGTGGCAGTAATTGTCACTTGTTATATTTTGTGCTACCTGCTCTGTTAAAATATAAAACTATAAAACTTCAAGGTTTGATGTGATCAAAATTATGTTTGAAAAACTGCTTGTAAGAATCACTTTGCTGTTCTCGAAAGTGA